ATAAAAATTAATTTCAATTTTTTTCTTCGAAAATCATGACTTCTAAAAATGCCGATATCTTTTAGTTAAGAAGTACTATGATACAAGATGTCACTATAAAAGTATATGAAAATACATTCAACAAGAACAAATTAAGTTCAAAATTTTCCTTCAAAATACTCATCTAGTGAGTGAAAACATTTTCCCGAAAGACATGAAATGATGCAATTCTTGCTTTAACATTGTCGAAAAATTAGTTATAGTAGAGTATTCAAAAAATAAGGTGATTGTGATCTACGGCTTTCAAACTCGAAAAACAGTGACACTGAAAACCTCAGCCAGAAAAGTCTAAATTTTGTCATTATTATATGCGGTTCGGAAACATTTATCTTTTTGGAGAAAACCGATGCCTGGTTTTTTGTATCATTGAATTGAACTTGGTTCAATTCGAAATTTCTTCTAGATCCTCATTAAGACATTCAACCTCCTGCTGTCGGTGTGCGGTAAGTGTGCTGTCGTCAGCAAAGCAATATATTGGAATTTTGGTTTTTTCCAATAAGTCGTTGATATACAGTTTCAGCTGTTTAGCATGTTCAGTTTGTTAGTGTACCTGGTTTATGTGAATTGTCAATAACATTCGTTCAAATTAGGTGCTTAAAAACACTTGAAATGTTGACAGTGGCATAAACAACGATTGTACTCTGAGCCAAGAGAAGATGTGAATGACGACGATTGCCATCAACGCCATCAACAACCGATGAAAATGTCGAGAAAGTGGATAAAATTGCTATGGAGGATCGTTAAGTCACTATAAGGAACGTTGCCGAAGATGTCGGCATATCGATTGGCTCATGCTTTGCAATTTTTTCGGTCTGCAGTTTACATTCTTTAATCAAGCTTTATTCTGTTGAGACTTGGTAGTCTGCTTCTTACAGTTCCTAACAGTTTTTCCAATTACTTCTGTTCTGTCTCTCAAATGGTATTTCACTGAAGCTAAATGTATAGGGTATCTGCCACAGTGTAATAAAGGGCAAACTGAAATGTTTACCCTGAAAATGTACTGCGTAATATAAACCATCGATAAGTCTAATTAGTCAGTGATTTGTATTCAAATTGAAAAATTAATGTAACATGAAATTTCTATTCTAAGCTTTCTTTAGATGGTTAACATTTTGGAAAACTTCTCTCTTCCGTTCTGAAGAATTTCACTTTTCCAATAATTATTCAATTTGTAGGCAAAAATTATGGATACAAGTTTCTGACTAATTGGACTTTTTAGTGGTTTATATCATGCAGTACCTTCAAGCAATGGACTTTTCAGTTTGTCCTTTATTACACTTCATCAGATTTTCTATTGATTCAGTTTTTTTAATTTTTCAGATTATGGAAGGATATATTGACATAAAATTACTGGCGGCTCGCCCAAAAACACCCTGTCAATGCTCAGTGCCAATGGTGATCTTTACCTGTACTGATAACTCAAAGTAAATACATAAAATGAATAGAATAAAAAAATAGTTTTTTGTTCACCATATAAATTAAATAGGTAATAGGAATACGAAGACACCATCTACCCAGCCATAACTCAACATATTATGAGAAAGGAGCTTACTATCAGGCAATAAAAGCATATAGTTCTCTACCGAAGGAACTTAAAAATATCACAGTCTTCAAGAAGTTTAGAAGTTCAGTCATTTCTTACTTGAGACATAAATGCTACTATTCGTTTAACTGCTGGCTAATTTGAAATTTGTTACGAAAATCATTAATAAAA